GATGGATGATGGTTGCTTCTTATTGGATGGTTGAGGGTTCCTTCATACTGGATGGTTGATGGTTCCTTCATATTGGATGGTCGATGGTTCTTTCATGTTGGATGGTTAATGGTTCCTTCCATATTGATGGTTGATGGTTCCTTCTTATTGAATGGTTGATGGTTCCTTCTCATTGGATGGTTGAGGGTCCTTCATATTGATGGTTGAGGGTTCCTTCTTGTTGATGGTTGAGGATTCGCTCCTATTGGATGGTCGTCGGGTTCCTTCATATTGATGGTTGAGGGTTCCTTCCTTTGGATAGTTGAGGGTTCCTTCATATTGATGGTTGGGGTTCCTCCATATTGGGTGGTTGATGGTTCCTTCTTATTGGATGATTGATGGTTCCTTCATATTGGATGGTTGATGGGTTCCTTTATATTGATGGTTGAGGGTTCCTTCATACTGGATGGTTGATGGTTCCTTCTTATTGGATGGTTGAGGGTTCCTTCATTTTGGATGGTTAATGGTTCCTTCAAATTGGATGGTTGATGTTTCCTTCATATTGGATAGTTGATGGTTCCTTCATATTGGATGGTTGATGTTTCCTTCATATTGGATGGTTGATGGTTCCTTCATCTGGGATGGTTGATGGTTCCTTCTTATTGGATGATTGATGGTTCCTTCCATATTGGATGGTTGATGATTCCTTCATATTGGATTGTTGATGTTTCCTTCATATTGATGGTTGATGTTTCCTTCTTACTGGATGGTTGATGTTTCCTTGATATTGGATGGTTGATGGTTCCTTCATATTGGATGGTTGAGGGTTCCTTCATATTGGATGATTGATGGTACCCTTCATATTGGATGGTTGATATTTCCTTCATATTGGATGGTTGATGGTTCCTTCATATTGGATGGTTGATGGTTCCTTCATATTGATGGTTGATGGTTCCTTCATATTGATGGTTGAGGGTTCCTTCATGTTGATGGTTGAGGGTTCCTTCCATTTTGGATGGTTAATGGTTCCTTCAAATTGGATGGTTGATGTTTCCTTGATATTGGATTGTTGAGGGTTCCTTCATATTGGATGGTTGATGGTTCCTTCATATTGATGGTTAATGGTTCCTTCATATTGATGGTTGATGTTTCCTTCATATTGATGTTTGATGGTTACTTCTTATTGATGATTGTTTGTTCCTTCATATTGGATGGTTGAGGGTTCCTTCCTATTGGATGGTTGAGGGTTCCTTCAAATTGGATGGTTAATGGTTCCTTCATATTGATGGTTGAGGGTTCCTTCCATATTGGATGATTGATGGTTCCTTCCATATTGGATTGTTGAGGGTTCCTTCATATTGCATGGTTGATGTTTCCTTCTTACTGGATGGTTGATGTTTCCTTCCATAGTGGATGGTTGAGGGTTCCTTCATATTGGATGATTGATGGTTCCCTTCATATTGGATGGTTGATGGTTCCTTCCATATTGGATGGTTGATGGTTCCTTCATATTGATGGTTAAGGGTTCCTTCATTTTAGATGGTTTATGTTTCCTTCATATTGGATGGTCGATGGTTCTTTCCATGTTGGATGGTTAATGGTTCCTTCATATTGGATGGTTGATGGTTCCTTCTTATTGAATGGTTGATGGTTCCTTCTCATTGATGGTTGAGGGTCCTTCATATTGATGGTTGAGGGTTCCTTCTTGTTGGATGGTTGAGGATTCCTTCCTATTGATGGTCGAAGGTTCCTTCCATATTGGATGGTTGAGGGTTCCTTCCTTTTGATAGTTGAGGGTTCCTTCCATATTGACGGGTTGAGGGTTCCTTAATATTGGATGGTTGAGGGTTCCTTCAGCATTGAGTGGTTGATGGTTCCTTCTTATTGGATGGTTGATGGTTCCTTCATATTGATGGTCGAGGGTTCCTTCATATTGATGGTTGAGGGTTCCTTCCTTTGGATTGTTGAGGGTTCCTTCAAATTGGATGGTTAATGGTTCCTTCATATTGATGGTTGAGGGTTCCTTCATGTTGGATGGTTAATGGTTCCTTCATGTTGGATGGTTGATGGTTCCTTCTTATTGGATGATCGATGGTTCCTTCATATTGATGGTTGACGTTCCTTCATATTGGATGGTTGATGGTTCCTTCTTGTTGGATGGTTGAGGGTTCCTTCATATTGGATGGTTGAGGGTTCCTTCATGTTGGATGGTTGAGGGTTCCTTCATTTTGGATGGTTAATGGTTCCTTCAAATTGGATGGTTGATGTTTCCTTCATATTGGATTGTTGATGGTTCCTTCATAATGGATGGTTGATGGTTCCTTCATATTGGATGGTTAATGGTTCCTTCATATTGGATGGTTGATGTTTCCTTCATATTGGATGGTTGATGTTTCCTTCTTACTGGATGGTTGATGGTTCCTTCATATTGGATGGTTGATGGTTCCTTCATATTGGATGGTTAAGGCTTCCTTCATTTTAGATGGTTGATGTTTCCTTCATATTGGATGGTCGATGGTTCTTTCATGTTGGATGGTTAATGGTTCCTTCATATTGGATGGTTGATGGTTCCTTCTTATTGAATGGTTGATGGTTCCTTCTCATTGGATGGTTGAGGGTCCTTCATATTGGATGGTTGAGGGTTCCTTCTTGTTGGATGGTTGAGGATTCCTTCCTATTGGATGGTCGATGGTTCCTTTCCATATTGGATGGTTGAGGGTTCCTTCCTTTTGGATGGTTGAGGGTTCCTTCATATTGGATCTGTTGAGGGTTCCTTAATATTGGATGGTTGAAGGTTCCTTCAGCATTGAGTGGTTGATGGTTCCTTCTTATTGGATGATTGATGGTTCCTTCATATTGGATGGTTGGCGTTCCTTCATATTGGATGGTTGATGGTTCCTTCTTATTGGATGGTTGAGGGTTCCTTCATATTGATGGTTGATGGTTCCTTCATATTGATGGTTGATGTTTCCTTCATATTGATGGTTGATGGTTCCTTCCATGTTGGATGGTTAATGGTTCCTTCATTTTGGATGGTTAATGGTTCCTTCTTATTGGATGATTGATGGTTCCTTCATATTGATGGTTGATGGTTCCTTCTTATTGGATGATTGAGGGTTACCTTCATTTTGGATGGTTAATGGTTCCTTCATATTGATGGTTGATGGTTCCTTCATGTTGGATGGTTGAGGGTCCTTCATATTGGATGGTTGATGGTTCCTTCCATGTTGGATGGTTGAGGGTCCTTCATATTGATGGTTGTTGGTTCCTTCTTGTTGGATGGTTGAGGATTCCTTCCTATTGGATGGTCGAGGGTTCCTTCATATTGGATGGTTGAGGGTTCCTCCATATTGGGTGGTGGATGGTTCCTTCTTATTGGATGATTGATGGTTCCTTCATATTGGATGGTTGACGGTTCCTTCATATTGGATGGATGATGGTTGCTTCTTATTGGATGGTTGAGGGTTCCTTCATACTGGATGGTTGATGGTTCCTTCATACTGGATGGTTGACGGTTCCTTCATATTGGATGGTTGACGGTTCCTTCATATTGGATGGTTTATGTTTCCTTCATATTGGATGGTTGATGTTTCCTTCATATTGGATGGTTGATGTTTCCTTCATATTGGGTTGTTGATTGTTCCTTCATATTGGATGGTTGATGGTTCCTTCATATTGGATGGTTGACGGTTCCTTCATATTGGATGATTGATGTTTCCTTCATATTGGATGGTTAATGGTTCCTTCATATTGGATGGTTGACGGTTCCTTCATATTGGATGGTTGATGTTTCCTTCATATTGGGTGGTTCATGTTTCCTTCATATTGAATGGTTGACGGTTCCTGTATATTGGATGGTTGACGGTTCCTGTATATTGGATGGTTGACGTTTCCTTCATATTGGATGGTTGATGTTTCCTTCATATTGGATGGTTGATGTTTCCTTCATATTGGTTGGTTAATGGTTTCTTTCATGTTGGATGGTTGATGTTTCCTTCATATTGGATGGTTGAGGGTTCCTTCATATTGAATGGTTGATGGTTCCTTCATATTGGATGGTTGACGGTTGCTTCATATTGGATGGTTGAGGTTTCCTTCATATTGGGTGGTTGATGTTTCCTTCATATTGGATGGATATTGGATGGTTGATGTTTCCTTCATATTGGTTGGTTAATTGTTCCTTCATATTGGATTGTTGATGTTTCCTTCATATTGGATGGTTGATGGTTCCTTCATATTGGATGGTTGATGTTTCCTTCATATTGGGTGGTTCATGTTTCCTTCTTATTGGATGGTTGATGGTTCCTTCATATTGGGTGGTTCATGTTTCCTTCATATTGGATGGTTGAAGGTTCCTTCAAATTGGATGGTTGATGGTTCCTTCATATTTGATGGTTGATGTTTCCTTCAATATTGGATGGTTGATGGTTCCTTCATATTGGATGGTTGATGGTTCCTTCATATTGGATTGTTGATGGTTCCTTCATGTTGGATGGTTGATGGTTCCTTCTTATTGGATGGTTGATGGTTCCTTCTTATTTGATGGTTGACGGTTCCTTCATATTGGATGGTTGATGGTTCCTTCATGTTGGATGGTTGATGGTTCCTTCGGAGAAGGTTTCCTCTTCCTCTTCTTTGCGATACCAGCAGAGGCTTTGGGATAGTTTTTCGGATAGGGCTTGTTATTTAAAAGGCATTTCATGAAATTTATATGATGATCTGTAGTGGGGATCCACTACAGGGAAAGCTAGTCCTATATCAGTGATGCCAGCTAGGAGTTAGAATGAATAAGAATTAACTCTGTAACGTCATTTCTAACAAATAATGATGTAGATATCCAAAATATCTGTGCCTTATGCCCATCACTTATAAATCTCATTCAAAGAAATCATTTCATGTAACTTGGAATCAAACAATTCAGTTATGAAACTTTTGAATAAAAGTTACTTGAGGCCGTTCCTACTGTCTGAGGCCTGCTGTCTGTTGTGTAAGACTTACATATATTCATATATTGCTTTCAGATACTCCAATTGTAACCAAACTTCAAGATGATGAGCAGATACCTAGTGAGCACAGTGGAAATGAGGAGCTGGTGACGTTACTGTCATCACAGTATCCAGGATCTGTGGAGATATGTTCAACACCTTCACAGCAGAACAAGACAAGCCCTCACCGTATGTTCTGCTCCTATATTCAGACAATGCTAAGTAACAAGATCACACAGACATGTTCATCACATCCTGAGCCAACTTTGGTCTCCTCCAAACACAAGGCAGTCCCTTCCCCAAGGACTCCTTCAGACACTAACAGCAAGCATGAAACAGATATAACTGGTTCACACAGTTTAAAGGATGAGAGTCCAGAGCTTCACACATTGCACAGATCAGCAGATACAGTGGTCAGTCTGAGTCTGCAGGAAACAAGGGCAGATGATAGGGACAGGTCTGCATCTGCACCTCATGAGGTATCTACTGTTGATGATCGTGAGAGGTCTGTACAGGACACAACAGATTCATTGTTGGACTCAACGCAGACACAGACAATGACAGAATATGTTACAGTGAGCCTTGAAGCTGAGCAGGCTGCCACCAAGCCTGCTGATTCCAGCCCCTCAGTAAGTAGCAGCCAGCCGGAGAGTGAGGCAGTGACTCACCTCAAGCCCAGCAGCACCCCATCTTTTGTGGAAGATGCCCACAAGCTCACTCAGACCCCAGTGCTAGAAACACAACAGCCTTGGACAGGTGGGACACAAGCAGAAGACCTGGGGAAAACCTCACTCAGCAGTAAAGTGTCTCCATCTCCAGCTGTCTCCAGCAGTGTGGACACCCTGCCCACCAAAGTTATAGCTACAATGGTGGAAGAGGTGGAGGACCACAAGGATAGCTCTAGTCAAGAGGTTGATGCCACAGAGAGTGTTGTTAAAGCAGAGAATATCACAGCTAACAAAGACAAACCTCTCGACCTCATGCAGGTTCCATTAGCTCCTGTAGCCAAGAGGGAAACTGCTATTATGAGGCTCACTAACCGAATAAAGTCTCTTGAACTGAATGTCTCTCTCAGCAGCAGGTAATATTCAGCTGACAGCTTATGGTATGGTAAAGTGTCCTGTAGATATAAGAATAACCTATGTCACTTTAAAGTGAAGTACATATGATGATCTCAAAATTCTAAATACAATCAACATATCAACTTGAAAATAAACATCACTTTGTTATGTTGGCGAACATAAGACATATCACATTTAGAATGTGAAAAAGTAATCCTTTGATATGGAATGACCTTTTTATTATGCAGGTTTTTAGATGAGTTGAGCCATCGCTTTAAGAAACAGTCTGAGGAAATGATGAGACTACTGAATAAAACAACTGCACATTTTAACAATGTGACGGACAGGTCCGAATTAAAGGTAGGTAATTACATGTCCACCAGGTACCTAGCTGCTTCACTAACACTGATGTATGTCCTGGCACTCACAGAAGTTAATGATGTACACTGAGATGTCACCTGTTGGACATTAGGACAATAGGCTTCTATGCTTTGAGCAAGGATATGTTTAGTTCTCATCTATCCTGCTTTACCAGATAAGCAGACTTGCAAATCCCTTTGCTTTGTACATGGGTTACATGCAGGAAAAGAGAAAATAACCTATTGTATTGTTTGTTATTCTGGTGATGAAAATAATTCTTGTATATAAGTGTATTACCTAGCGTATTTCCTCATTTAGATGCCCATGTGTCTGTCATTTGGGCACAGCATTGACCTTGCATCTATTAGAGGCCAGCATGTATTGAAATATTGAAGGAAATATTGAAGTTTGGTACTCAGGCTTTGAAAATAAAATGTAGTTTGGCACATGTAGCCAATTGTGCAGCTCAGCCTCAATTTCATGAATGTTTGAGTCAAGTTCATTCTCTCCAGCTGCAAGCTTGTATGCTTTTTGAAGCCTCTCTTTTGTCACCGTTCTGAGTGTCCACGTTGAGGCAAATGTCCTTTTGTCTTCTCAGCGTAGCAGCCATATGTCCATTTATTTACATAACTCAGAGCTAGTGTAATGAAATATTTTGGGATCAGTTTGCCAATATTTACTTTTCTGACTTTATTCCCAAGGTTACACTACAACAGGAGCAGTTAGAACAACTGGAATCACGTGTGGAAAACCTGACTGCCCTCATGACCGACTTGTTCATGAGCATGGAGGATCTGAACAACAAGGTAGGTGTGTCTGTGTAGTAGGGCAACCCAACTACTGCATGGTGGATCTGAACAACAAGGTAGGTGTGTCTGTGTTGTAGGGCAACCCAACCACTGCATGGTGGATCTGAACAACAAGGTAGGTGTGTCTGTGTAGTAGGGCAACCCAACCACTGCATGGAGGATCTGAACAACAAGGTAGGTGTGTCTGTGTAGTAGGGCAACCCAACCACTGCATGGATGATCTGAACAACAAGGTAGGTGTGTCTGTGTTGTAGGGCAACCCAACCACTGCATGGTGGATCTGAACAACAAGGTAGGTGTGTCTGTGTAGTAGGGAAACCCAACCACTGCATGGAAGATCTGAACAACAAGGTAGGTGTGTCTGTGTAGTAGGGCAACCCAACCACTGCATGGTGGATCTGAACAACAAGGTAGGTGTGTGTGTGTTGTAGGGCAACCCAACCACTGCATGGTGGATCTGAACAACAAGGTAGGTGTGTCTGTGTAGTAGGGCAACCCAACCACTGCATGGTGGATCTGAACAACAAGGTAGGTGTGTCTGTGTAGTAGGGCAACCCAACCACTGCATGGAGGATCTGAACAACAAGGTAGGTGTGTGTGTGTTGTAGGGCAACCCAACCACTGCATGGTGGATCTGAACAACAAGGTAGGTGTGTCTGTGTAGTAGGGCAACCCAACCACTGCATGGTGGGGGATGGAAACAGAATTATGTACAGCAATATATGTGAATCTCTTCTGTATTACCTTGTACCTTGGCTCAATGTGGGTGTACATGTCAGTGACTATTGCCTGTATGTGATCAGTGACCATTGTCTGTGTGTGATCAGTGACTATTGCCTGTATGTGATCAGTGACTATTGTCTGTATGTGATCAGTGACTATTGTTTGTATGTAATCAGTGACTATTGTCTGTATGTGATCAGTGACTATTGTTTGTATGTGATCAGTGACTATTGTCTGGATGTGATCAGTGACTGTTGTCTGTATGTGATCAGTGACTATGGTCTGTATGTGATCAGTGACTATGGTCTGTATGTGATCAGTGACTATGGTCTGTATGTAATCAGTGACTATTGTCTGTATGTGATCAGTGACTATGGTCTGTATGTGATCAGTGACTATGGTCTGTATGTGATCAGTGACTATGGTCTGTATGTAATCAGTGACTATTGGCTGTATGTGATCAGTGACTATTGTTTGTATGTGATCAGTGACTATTGTCTGGATGTGATCAGTGACTATTGTCTGGATGTGATCAGTGACTATTGTTTGTATGTGATCAGTGACTATTGTCTGGATGTGATCAGTGACTATTTTCTGGATGTGATCAGCAACTATTGTCTGTATGTGATCAGCAACTATTGTCTGTATGTGATCAGCAACTATTGTCTGTATGTGATCAGTGACTATTGTTTGTATGTGATCAGTGACTATTGCCTGTATGTGATCAGTGACTATTGTCTGTATGTGGTCAGTGACTATTGTCTGGATGTGATCAGTGACTATTGCCTGTAGGTGATCAGTGACTATTGTCTGTATGTGATCAGTGACTATTGCCTGTATGTGATCAGTGACTATTGTCTGTATGTGATCAGTGACTATTGTCTGGATGTGATCAGTGACTATTGCCTGTAGGTGATCAGTGACTATTGTCTGTATGTGATCAGCAACTATTGTCTGTATGTGATCAGTGACTATTGTTTGTATGTGATCAGTGACTATTGCCTGTATGTGATCAGCGACTATTGTCTGTATGTGATCAGCGACTATTGTCTGTATGTGATCAGCAACTATTGCCTGTAGGTGATCAGTGACTATTGTCTGTATATGATCAGTGACTATTGTCTGTATGTGATCAGTGACTATTGTTTGTATGTGATCAGTGACTATTGCCTCAACATGATCAGTGATCAGTAACTATTATCTTATTTCAGATTACAGACAGACAGCTTGTTTGGACAACAGTAGAGTTTCTTCTGCTGGCAGTTGTATGTGTTGTTTGTCTACGGCGCGGCAGGTCTCCGAGCATACATCCAGATGTTCGCCACTTGCTGGAGATGATGCCCAGCCATCCCAATCACACTGGCAACATGCGTCGGAACTCTGTGGGTGCCGTTGGCCATGTTCTACCTGCAACACCAATAAGAAAACAAGCCAGTGAATCTGCACTTGGTCAGTATTGCCATCCATTGATATTTGAGTTGGTCAATGCACAGCAAGGAAACATTGCTTGATGAAATGCAAAGTATTTCTTCAACTCCAATAAAGATATTGAGTAGCACCCTACCAAGGCATTACAATTAATATGAGAACCATCCATGTCGATGTTGAAAGATTCCCTTCCTATGTACATAAGCTGGAAAGCTTTGAGCTCACCTCACTGAAAGTCAAGTAAATGTTTTCGTCCATCGTCCAACCTTTGCCCATAAAAACATCTCCGCAGAAAGCACTGGTCCAATGAAACTGAAACTTCAGCTGCTTCTACAAGCCATTGATGACACGCCACTTTGATGAAGACGTTTACCTTTTGTTCATCGCAGAAAAGGTCATCATGGTCTGACACAGTTAATGTTTGGGACCAACCATTTAATATTGTAGGGCCCAAGGATGTGTAATATATTTTCACCAATGCTTCACTCTAACATTTGATTGCCTTATTTCCTGAAACTTGTCTTTGATCCACATTAATAAGAAATTTGAATCCATTGTTTTGTGTTGTCTTTCTAACCTGTGGTCTTCCCAAGCACCATCCATAGGAGTTGTCTACCCTGACATAAATGCGGAGAACCTCATTATTTTGCCTGTAGCACACATGAACACTTGTTTTCTGTTAAACTTAATAATTTTCCCAGATGAGGTTCTTTTATTTTGACATTGATATGGATAAATCTAAAGACAGCAAATATAGTTCGGCCTCCCCTTCAGGTGCTAATAATTGTTCAAATTGTGTTAAATTGATGTTTGCCCAGTGCTGGGGATGTGTCACCACACCATGTTCCTTTGTTTCCTGATGTGACCTCTGCCTTCTACAGCCTTCAAAAAGTATGTGTTGGCCATTTAGAAGGACCAGGAAAAGAAATTAGCCAATACTCCGGCGTGGGTGCCCGATGATATGTGCTTATCTGAAAAGTTCCCATAACATCTCTATGATAGCATGGTGTATGTTTGTTATTATTTACTGTGGATCACAGCCTTACCCTGAGACACCAGGTTTGATAAGGACATTAAGGTGGGAATAAGTTGAATTGATTATGTGTTCATCAGACAGATGTCTCAGGATTAACTGACCTGGATCTTTTCTATTTCAGTTGCGGCTATTGCAAGTGAACGTAATCCAAGTTTTGAGATTGTGGAACAGGGGAATTCACTTCTTAGTCAACAGCCAGTGGTAAGTAAGCCAGAAGTAAGCAAACTAGATAGTGAAGACTTCATATGAACAATATTTCTTGTGAGTATACCTTCTTTAGTCAATACGTTATGACACAAGGCTTTGATTTACTTGAAAGTCAAGACAGAACTTGAGTTGTGACTTCACCTGTTTTATCTCTTACCATGGAGTATTTTGAACTGATATTATTATTTTTTAAAGCAGAAGGATGGTAACAAGAAAAGAAGAAGAAAAAGCATAAAAATCTGGAAGCTAAATCATCAACAGAGGCAGTATCTCCAGATGGCTCAGAGTCTCTGTCTGCAACACAACTCACAGAGAGTGCAGGATTGTTGTTTGGAGCAGATGCAGTGACTGTACTCACAGGTGTACCCGATCCTTCGTGCACTATTGCCAAAACAAAAGATGAGAAATCCACTTCTGAAAGGACAAGCACCAAGAGTCTTCCAACTCATAGCAGGCAAAGTTCACAATCTTTTATTGAAATCCATAAGAATCCAGCTAAAGTGACTGTCCTTCCAAAGAAGTTATCACTGCCCAACAGTGGTAGCATAGCCTCCCAGTGTGTGAGTCTCATGGCCACACATAGCTGTCCTCCACCAGGTGGACTCAAGGCAGACCCTCCAAAGCTGTCTGCAGGTGCCACTTTGCAGACAGCCGATAGAGTTCTTACTGGTATGCAGGCAAAGACTCTGGCTAATGGTGCCATGTCTGACAGCAAGCCCATGAGTGGAAGGACATCAGCTCACATGTGGAAGTCCACAGGCCAACACATGCCTCTGCCTCCACCACCGCCACCCCCACCCCCATCACCACCACCACGAGGTGGCACGCACTACCCAGTTCTGAAGGGAACCAAATCCAACCTGAAGCAGAAGGGCTGGAGTTTCAAGAAATCCATTGGCTTTGAATAACTTATATATGTAGTATATGCTTAATACTTCTACAAAATATGTGATTTGAGGGCCTGACTTTACTTGTTACTGAATTATGGTGGTGCATATATTTATTGAATGAAAAACTTGCTTGAATTTGTGACAAAGAATAGTGCTATCTGCATTTTTTGCCAGTTTTGGAAATCTTTAGGTAACAATGATTATTTGCTGAAAGAGATTATATTCTGTATTTGTCCTCCACCCTTTGCCGTCCAAGGAAAATGTTACTTCCAATCTTGTATTTATGTGTCATGTCCTTGAGCTACTTGAGTTGCTTTTTTTTTTAATCAAATGTTTTGTTTAGGAAAGAGTTGATTGTGTTACATATTTACTGACAAGAACAAACCATTGGGCAGTTAGCCTAAGATGAAACCATCAGTCACAGTTGAGATCATGTCAAGATGTATGAAAAGCTATATTCAAACAGGTACTAAGTATTCATACTCAAATCGGGTATTAATTTCAGGGCATTTTAAGTTGAAGTCCATGATGTTTTAGCTGCACAAATTCATTATCTGACATCAATATGATTATTCACATGAAGTTTACTTACGTTAGTAGATTTGGATGTCCAGCATGTTAGTAGATTTGGATGTCCAGCATGAAATCTCTAAGTCAACTTAAAGTCATGTGACCAGACTGTTCTTCAGATGATCGTACCAGCAGCTTACTGGTCGTGATGTCAGAAAGTTGTTCTATTGGTATCAAAATGTAGGTGGATCTTCCCATCTAAGGGGGACGGTGGGGTAGCCTAATGGTTAAGGTGTTAGCTTGTCACACCAAAGACCCCGGGTTTGATTCCTCACATGGGTACAATGTGTGAAGCTCATTTCTGGTGCTGTGATATTGCTGGAATATTGCTGAAAGCGGCGTAAAACTATACTCAGTCAGTCCAATCAAAGGTTAAAGACTAAAGTTAAAGTAAACATGCAATGGCTATGTGCCAAATCATAATAATAATTGAAATATATAAGCTCTCTAATGAAGGCATTGCTTTCCAAATGACAAAGGTCAAGGTCATGCAAACAATGAGTGTTATGTTGTACCTATATCCCTCTGTGCATGGGTACAATCAATGACTGGATCACTCAGGATGTAGTGAAAGCTGTTGGTGTCTCTAGGTCAGGACTATTACTCATGTTGTTTTGGGTTCAGGTCTGGTGATTTAGAAGCCCATGGGAGGATCTGTAGAAGTTCCTTAGGACTGCTGCTGTTACTATAAGTGTGTTGGGTCCAGCAACTATTTTGTGGAAACATGATGAAGAATTTCTTCACATTTAGTGATGGAATGTTATGCTGCCTTTCGCAAATCTGCCCAATCTGTTGACTTCACTCATGAGCAATACATTCATTGGGACGTTGGTACACCCCCGCTTTCATCATGATACAGCATTACCCTGACTTAACCCTAAACCAAACAGTTCCCCAACACTGGTTAGTCTATGCTCTGTGTGCTTGACAACACTGAAGCCATAGTTGAAGATGTTGTCAGAATATCACCTCTGACAGGCCATCAAGCTGCGATGTCGTTCTCAATCACAGAAGAGCTGCCATTGTAGAAGATGCTGTTTTACATCTTTGTCACCTGTGTAAATGCTTATTCAGCAGTCATGGGCAACAATTGTCACAAACTGGTCAGGCACTTGAAGTACGATACTGGGCATCAATCCCCTAGTTTTCGGTATTGTTATATTTGGGTTATATCAGAGACCATGGTCTCTTGTTATATCCATGCTCCAATTTGGTGATTCCAATAAAATTATTAGTGTGGTGCTAAACAACATGTTCATATATTGCTAATGTCTCTCATGTATACATATATGGAGAAAAATAATAGTCCAGAAGTCTCTTTCATGTATACATATATGGAGAAAGATAAAGGTCCAGAGGTCTCTTTCATTTACTCTACCCAGATTCTCTATTGTGATTTTCTAGAGTTTGTGAAGACATATCACATTAGTATCATCTGTGTTACTACTTTCAGAGAAAATGTTCATTAACTTGCTTCATAATAGGAAAATAAGTGCAATGAATGTTAGAACTATGTTACAGTGAACTGTAGACAATCAAGTGAAGGCCAGACAAACCTTGGACAAAACATCAGTAGTGGTCCACACAATAAGTCAAACAACCAGACCGTCTGACCTATGGTTTGATAATATAATGGGGACCTATTCTGAATAGGATGATTGTAAACAGTTACAAAATGTGTAAGGTAATGTAATTTTATATTTATAAGAAATTGTAAATCTTTTCTTAGAAAGGAATATTGCACAAATGAATATTACTTTTAATTACTTGATTTAAGTTTAAAGTAATGTTAATCTTTAAGAACTGTCTGTCAGTCTGCTTGGCACAAAAGTATTGTTAAGGTGACAGTGAAATTGAGGTGGAATATCTAGATACTTGCACATAGTCTCTGTAAGTTTTAATTGGGTTGATTTTACGTTTATAACATGAATCTTAACAGGAAAATCAGTTTTATTTTGTAAAAGTAACACAGGAAATCATTTCTCGTTTTGTTGTTTCTGATTGTTTTGTTCTATTTCTTAATATTTTACTGTGTTATGTGCATATGAAATAAGCAGTGATACTGACCTTTTGAAATGAGCTAGTTTGTGTTGGTCAGATCCTATCCGTGTTGTACAGTGCAGACAAGGAGATGTTGTCTGACCTATGTGTGTTGGTCAGATCCTATCCGTGTTGTACAGTGCAGACAAGGAGATGTTGTCTGACCCATGTGTGTTGGTCAGATCCTATCCGTGTTGTACAGTGCAGACAAGGAGATGTTGTCTGACCTATGTTTGTTGGTCAGATCCTATCCGTGTTGTACAGTGCAGACAAGGAGATGTTGTCTGACCTATGTGTGTTGGTCAGATCCTATCCGTGTTGTACAGTGCAGACAAGGAGATGTTGTCTGACCTATGTGTGTTGGTCAGATCCTATCCGTGTTGTACAGTGCAGACAAGGAGATGTTGTCTGACCCATGTGTGTTGGTCAGATCCTATCCGTGTTGTACAGTGCAGACAAGGAGATGTTGTCTGACCCATGTGTGTTGGTCAGATCCTATCCGTGTGTTGTACAGTGCAGACAAGGAGATGTTGTCTGACCCATGTGTGTTGGTCAGATCCTATCCGTGTTGTACAGTGCAGACAAGGAGATGTTGTCTGACCTATGGTGTGTGTTGGTGCAGATCCTATCCGTGTTGTATCAGTGCAGACAAGGAGATGTTTTCTGACCATCTTTATATACAGACAAAGAGATATCTGGGAACAGTCATCCGGTGAATTCTTTTGAAAATTTCAGCTTTATTCTTACATATTTATTTCATGTTGATTAACTGTTGCATTAACCTCTTTGTCAGCATGACAACAGTTGAAATCTCCAGCCAGCTCCCTTCCCCCCAGCCAGCTCCCAGGAGTTAAGCCCTGACAGCAGTTATTGTAGTTAGAATGTGGTCTGCCCTACGTATTGATATTTTGTGCTAGTATTATCATTGTCATATTATATATACCAAAGAACAGTATATGAGTATCATACATGTCAGGTTATTGGTGCTACAGGGTGTGCATTTAATTGTAATAGTGGAAAGATTGTTCTGCATACTTACTGGTGGTAAAGGATATAGAAACATCACTGGATGTGTGTAGGATGCCAATCATTTTCTTAATGACAGTATTTTTGTGAGGCAGTAAGGTAGGGTCTCACACATTTTTAAAGAGAAGTCTTTGGCAGTCTTTATTATTATTGAACATTAAAGTAGGAACACGAAGAAACTAAAATAGATAACCACCATAGGATTGTCATGTTGAAAACATTTTAATTGCTGTATGGAAACAAAGGGATTACACTAAAGCAAACCATGCAGTGTGAGCCATGCGTTCATTTCAATTTTCATGGACAATAATTTGTGTTTTTGTTCAAGTCAATTGTCCGTTCAAAATGATTTGTCAGCAGATTTTCAAAATGTCATTAATGATCAGTGCGTTGGAAGAGATGAATATATTAGGAAGGAGAAACTGAACAGGTGCCCCTTCACCTAAGAGTTAAGACTATTTTAAGGTTGTGTTGAAATGTTGGGATCATCCTAGGGCCAGAAACAATTTGTGGAACCTGGTCCAATGGGTACAGTGTACCCATTTTTCACAATCAGTCATGAAAATTGAATAACTTCAAGGATAAATATTATACAAATTAAGACATTTTTGAAATTTATGTTAATGTATTGTTTCTAACTGAAAGTAATGTTATCAGCTTTGTAAATTAAAATCTGTACATAGTGAAGTAATAAAATGGAATTTGAGATTGGTCACATAACTATGAATATACTGATGAACACTTAGATGACTGAGGTTTTGCAATGTAGAAACATGCTGGCACAGAGCTATTATATGACCACAAATGCGATTGTCACACTTATACAGTTTGGCAGGCCAGCTTGAAAGATGCCTGGTTGTAAACAATTGTCCTGGTGGTATTGTTAAACCATTCCCTCACTGCATCTCCTTAATACAGTGAGGATCACTTGACACTGTAGCCATGTATACCCAGTGCAGAATCTTGGTTGGCTGCGTGTCAACTATTTGTTGTTGATTTCTCTTCAATGAATGTAAATCTTTGGATATTCAGTCAACAATAAACATGCTCAGTTAACATCAAATGTATGCAGACCAATTGACATATCTTGATTCTAACACATTTCTGTTTCTGGTGTATGGTCTCGCATTGTTTAATGTTTATCAACAATCTTTACTTGCCATTCTTGAGTTAGTGTTGGTAATCATTAACAAAACAATCCGTCTATGATATTGTTTGTGGTTGATAATCAGCAATAATATTGAGTGAATCTTCCTATGTGTCTGCTACTGTGTTGTGTTTGTGTTGCCAGTGCTCATCCAGTATTATACTATCTGTCTTACATATGCCATGCACCATATGGGAAGTGGGATTTGCACACCAATGTCTAATCAGATGTACCATATGAGAACAAAAATGAAAAAAATTGTTGTTCGAGCAAATTTGTTAATAAAGATTTTACCCAAAGATTGTGTTCATGTTGTGATAAGATTAATGGTGACTGATGAAGGAGGATGTAAGTGGTTGTAAAGTTCGCTCGAGGTACATGAGTGTGTAGGGCTGTAAGGCTGGGTGGAGGTGTGTGTGTGTGGCAAGTTACAGTCCACTGTAAGGCTGGGTGGAGGTGTGTGTGTGGCAAGTTACAGTCCACTGTAAGGCTGGGTGGAGGTGTGTGTGTGTGGCAAGTTACAGTCCACTGTAAGGCTGGGTGGAGGTGTGTGTGTAGGTGACAAGTTACAGTCCACTGTAAGGCTGGGTGGAGGTGTGTGTGTGGCAAGTTACACTGCACTGTAAGGCTGGGTGGAGGTGTGTGTAGGTGACAAATTGCAGTCCACTGTAAGGCTGGGTGGAGGTGTGTGTGTGGCAAGTTACACTCCACTGTAAGGCTGGGTGGAGGTGTGTGTAAGTGACAAGTTACAGTCCACTGTAAGGCTGGGTGGTGGAGTGTGTAAGTGACAAGTTACAACTGTAAGGCTGGGTGGAGGTGTGTGTGTGTGTGGACAAGTTACAGTCCACTGTAAGGCTGGGTGGAGGTGTGTGTGTGTAAGTGACAAGTTAAAGTCCACTGTAAGGCTGGGTGGAGGTGTGTGTGTGTGGCAACAAGTTACAGTCCACTGTAAGGCTGGGTGGAGGTGTGTGTGTATGTGTGACAAGTTACAGTCCACTGTAAGGCAGGGTGGAGGTGTGTGTGTGTGGCAAGTTACACTCCACTGTAAGGCTGGGTGGAGGTATGTGTGTAAGTGACAAGTTACAGTCCACTGTAAGGCTGGGTGGAGGTGTGTGTGTGTGGCAAGTTACACTCCAATGTAAGGCTGGGTGGAGGTGTGTGTGTAAGCGACAAGTTACAGTCCACTGTAAGACTGGGTGGAGGTGTGTGTGTAAGTGACAACTGTGGAAGTGACAAGTTACAGTCCATTCTAAGGCTGGATGGAGGTGTGTGTGTGAGCAACAAGTTACAGTCCACTGTTAGACTGGGTGGAGGTGTGTGTAAGTGACAAGTTAAAGTCCACTGTAAGGCTGGGTGGAGGTGTGTGTAAGCGACAAGTTACAGTCCACTGTAAGGCTGGGTGGAGGTGTGTGTGTGACAAGTTACAGTCCACTGTAAGGCTGGGTGGAGGTGTGTGTGTAAGTGACAAGTTACAGTCCACTGTAAGGCTTGGTGGAGGTGTGTGTGTAAGCGACAAGTTACAGTCCACTGTAAGGCTGGGTGGAGGTGTTTGTGTGGCAAGTTACAGTCCACTGTCAGGCTGGGTGGAGGTGTGTGTGTAAGCGACAAGTTACAGTCCACTGTAAGGCTGGGTGGAGGTGTGTGTGTGGCAAGTTACAGTCCACTGTAAGACTGGGTGGAAGGTGTGTGTTTAAGCGACAAGTTACAGTCCACTGTAAGGCTGGGTGGAGGTGTGTGTGTGGCAAGTTACAGTCCACTGTAAGACTGGGTGGAGGTGTGTGTGTAAGCGACAAGTTACAGTCCACTGTAAGGCTGGGTGGAGGTGTGTGTGTGTGGCAAGTTACAGTCCACTGTAAGGCTGGGTGGAGGTGTGTGTGTGTGCGTTACAGTCCACTGTAAGGCTGGGTGGAGTTACAAGTTACACTGCACTGTAAGGCTGGGTGGAGGTGTGTGGACAAGTTACAGTCCACTGTAAGGCTGGGTGGAGGTGTTTGTGTAAGTGACAAGTTACTGTCCACTGTAAGGCTGGGTGGAGGTGTGTGTGTGACAAGTTACAGTCCACTGTAAGGCTGGGTGGAGGTGTTTGTGTAAGTGACAAGTTACAGTCCACTGTAAGGATGGGTGGAGGTGTGTGTGTAAGCGACAAGTTAAAGTCCACTGTAAGGCTGGGTGGAGGTGTGTGTGTAAGCGACAAGTTACACTCCACTGTAAGGCTGGGTGGAGGTGTGTGTGTGGCAAGTTACACTCCAATGTAAGGCTGGGTGGAGATGTGTGTGTGGCAAGTTACAGTCCACTGTAAGACTGGGTGGAGGTGTTTGTGTAAGTGACAATTTACAGTCCACTGTAAGCCTGGGTGGAGGTGTGTCTAGGTGACAAGTTACAGTCCACTGTGGGGCTGGGTGGATGTGTGTGTGTGTGTAAGTGACAAGTTACAGTCCACTGTAAGACTGGGTGGATGTGTGTGTAAGTGACAAGTTACAGTCCATTCTAAGGCTGGATGGAGGTGTGTGTGTGTGAGCAACAAGTTACAGTCCACTGTTAGACTGGGTGAAGGTGTGTGTAAGTGACAAGTTAAAGTCCAACTGTAAGGCTGGGTGGAGGTGTGTGTGTGTGAAGCAAGTTACAGTCCACTGTAAGGCTGGGTGGAGGTGTGTGTGTAAGTGACAAGTTACAGTCCACTGTAAGGCTGGGTGGAGGTGTGTGTGTGGCAAGTTACACTCCACTGTAAGGCTGGGTGGAGGTGTGTGTGTAAGTGACAAGTTACAGTCCATTGTAAGGCTGGATGGAGGTGTGTGTGTGTGAAGTTACAAGTTACACTCCACTGTAAGACTGGGTGGAGGTGTGTGTAAGTGACAAGTTACAGTCCACTGTAAGGCTGGGTGGAGGTGTGTGTGTGGCAAGTTACAGTCCACTGTAAGACTGGGTGGAGGTGTGTGTGTAAGTGACAAGTTACAGTCCACTGTAAGGCTGGGTGGATGTGTGTATGTGGCAAGTTACAGTCCACTGTAAGACTGGGTGGAGGTGTGTGTGTAAGTGACAAGTTACAATCCCACTGTAAGGCTGGGTGGAGGTGTGTCTAGGTGACAAGTTACAGTCCACTGTGGGGCTGTTTGGAGGTGTCTCTAGGTGACAAGTTACAGTCCACTGTGGGGCTGGATTCAGGTGTGTGTGTGTAAGTGACAAGTTACAGTCCACTGTGGGGCTGGATTCAGGTGTGTGTGTAAGTGACAAGTTACAGTCCACTGTGGGGCTGGATTCAGGTGTGTGTGTAAGTGACAAGTGACATTATTATCTTTCCATGACGTCAAGATAAATCAGTTACCACTTTGCTTCCCTGTAACCATGGTTATATACATTCTCCATGGTTCTATGACAGTCCCCCGTGACTTTGTTGGTGATCACAATCATCAAGTGTGCAATAACAATGCGATGTGGTTAGTGTAACTTGTTCTGCCAGTTGGGGTTACGGTTGTAGGTAATGACTGTTTATGAATGATTCAACCATGGTTGAACGTATCATACATGTATATGTAACCAAAAGTAAACATATTGCGACCAGGTGATTAAGCAGTTCATGTGGTTACTTCTTGTGAAGATTTAGCTGTGAGGATGATGTCACACTCCAGACACACACTGCACTCTGCGTTGTCTTTATAAGGCACATGTTGTTTCCGTGTACACTGCTTACATACCACCTGCAACAAATAACATTATGTAACTGAAGTTATTATACATAGTGAACTTTACTTAGAACAATTTACAAGAATATATGTTTTGACTTTTAATTACTTGCTTTACAGTTCCAACAAAGCAAACTTTTTTCAAATGTAATAATACTACATTGATAAGTTTCTTATTCTTTCGATTGGACCTGCTGTTTAATATCAGTAATGAAAAAGTGAAATAGATAGTATGCAATTAAATGTTCTCAAAAACAACAACTCAATTTTGCATTTCTCTGTTTAATCCACGTGACAAGTGCTTTTTATGAGATCCCTTGAAAATATTTTGTATTAAGATATCCTTAGATGGGTTTTTTTGTAATTTCCAACCCCATCGGGTTTTTATATATCTGCAGACCAAGTAGTGGAGAATGTGCCAGGTAGACAATCCTTTGTCAGCAGAAAAACCCAACTTACATTCATTCTCATTCCTTTGAGTGAGAAAATGTATTGATATCCTGATTATTGCAGCATCTTAGATAATTCACATCAATAAGTGTCCGATGTTATCAGTATTTCACCATGTTTCCTACCAGTATGGAGAGTGCAGCTACAGCATCAGCAGTTCACACTGGGAATGTCATTGTTATCACAGACGATCACAAAGTAGGGCACCAGCTGATCATGCCTTTGAATACATAACCTCTATTGGATCATTGCCATACATCCTGCATTGTGCTGTCATCACACGGCAAAAGACTTCAAAGGATGGTCCTCTTCACTACCTACCACATAGTCTTGAGGGAAACAGTATTCTCCAATCAGAGCGCCTTTGTGCATATGGAAGGTGGGAAATTATCACTTCCTACACGTGTGTGTGAAAGAAAACAAGCAACTGTTTCCACATACCTAGTATTTATTTAGCTCACGTGTTTTATCTTCACTTTGTTATTACTTTCTAATTTTTTCACAGTTAATCGTCTGATTTTCACGTTCGTTTTGTTGGGAATGGAATCCTTATTATGATGTGATGATAGTGGATATCGCCAGATTCCTTTCAATCTACATATATGCTGACAAGTGAAGTGTTGTGTATCTTAGATTCCAGATGTAATCCTTGTGATTCCCTAATGGATTTTAAAGGATTATTGAAATTATAGAATTCATTCTCTTCACAGTCCAGGTTTTTGTCATAAGAGATTGTTCATCTGTAACCTCTAAGTGATATCCCACAGTGGAGTAAATGGATCTCAGATTCTATTTTTTCAGTTTAGCACAATCTATTCTCCATACCTAAAGAGCTTTTGTGTTGAAAATCGTAGAGACACTGTACATGTTTCCCCCAGCTCAGGCTACCTTTCTTGTGCTGAGGTTCGGTCTGGCAGGTGTTCTGAGTACATACCCTGACACGGTAATTTGGCCACTTGATCGAATGTCGACGTAGATGGACAGATCATAGGTTAACGGCTGGACTCACATTATATGATGTGGAAGTGTCATCTTACAGTTCTGTGGTATTGACGCATATTATGTATTCTGGTGATGATTTAATAGATTATATGTATTCAAGGAGGTTATCAAACCATAGCTGAATTTAGCTAATCGGCAAAAATGAAACGGTAATATGAAAAGCCAGTCTACGTCAAAAAAGGCAAATCATTTGTTAATCTGAATGCCAGAGAATTCACATACCATGGGAATGTTTGAAACTTATATCAATAAATAGAAACGGTCCTGTATAACAAGTGACTATAACAACTCGGATTCTAAATGCCAATAATCAACTCTGCCTGTCATTGGACAACATATACCTACCAATCCACATGTGGCACAGTGGAGTTTTGGACTGGCGCAGGTCTCAAACGTCATATGGCAGCTGAGACAACTATCAGTGATATCTTCACTCATTTTCCGGGGAGACCAGCCGCCAAGGAATAAGTTGGGCATCTGTGAAATATCCAGAATAGACACTCATCCCTTATCTGAACCGCCAGCAGACTCTCTCCCAGCAGCACCATTCCCCCAAATATAGTAATGCACCGTTAGGTTACAATTATTTCCGACTCAATTTTGAGAACAGAAAGTTTGGTTTACCCTGATATAAGCATACGTGTCGCTGCAATCGCCACAACGATTTGTCACGGATGTTGTAAGCGCCACCTCTTCTCTCCTCTGCATTGCCTTGTCTACCAGCTTCTGAATTTCCTACATCAGCAACATAAAAAGTAATACTAAACCTAAACCTACAATGATAGAAGGTAACAAAAACTACTGACAGGTAATAATGACTGGAGGTAACAAGAATGTCCGGAACACGAACTAACAAGACTGTGTATGATATATTTTGCATAAAAATAGCCATAACTTTCTGTTTCAATATAGCTGCCGTAGCCGTTATGTTAGTCCACGTTTCACCTTTCAAGAAGAACCCACTCTTGCGCACCGTGTACGTACAGTAACTGTAGACATCAAACAACAAACGCATCACAATAATGCTGTGGTCAGCCACGAAGACCGAGTCCGTGAAGGACATGTTTCGGACATGAACAAAGGCAACCTGCTGCGTTAGCTCAACTGGTCCATGTGCTGGCGGAAAAGCTGTGGATGGTCTCCCTCGCTGCAGGCATGACTCGGACCTTGCCAGACTGGACACACGAATATTTGACAAATATTATTAGTCAGGTTGTCTCAACTTTCATATATTGCTACAGGCCTGACTTCCGCCTATGCAAGACAGCATTTATATAATCGTCCACTGTTCTTTTTTTCAAAATCCACTACATGTTTCAGAATTGTTACGTGTAGTTGTTCCCCAGCTGAAACTAAAGTGTTGACTGTGAATCAGTCTGTAAAAGAACCGTGTGTGAAACCAACAAAGAAATGTGCTGTAATTAACAAATATAGTCTTCTAAAATTACCGACGATCACAAATCAATACAAAGGTATAACTTTGACAGTACAACATTGTGTGGCAATACAAATTTAGAGATATTATAATACAGAAGCAGTCATTATAGACAAGGAAGGTATTTATTCGCCTCACAGTAACCCAAGCTTCGAATATTTTCTCGTTTAACTTTCTTTCAAAAACTTGAAGTAACGAGAAAATACTCGAAGCAACGAGTAAATACTCGAAATTTCAAGTTTTTGACAGAAACTTGAAGTACCGAGAAAATGTTCGAAATTTCAAGTTTTTCAAAGAAAGTTCAAGGAACAGGAAAATATTCGAAGCAACGAGAAAATTATTGAAATAACGAGAAAATTATTGAAATGACGAGAAAATTATTGAAATGACGAGAAAAGCAAGCATCGCGAAGCAACGAGAAATTAATCGAAGCAACGAAAAAATAATTGAAGTAACGAGAAAATACTCGTAGCAACGAGAAAATAACAGGACATATTTTTCAATAGGGGTTTCATGTCGTCAGTATACGACAGCAGGTCTAATCAGTGTATTGCAGCAAGTAACAAGAATGTCTTCGAATTTCTATGACAGCAGGTAACAGGAATGTCCAAGACGCAGTAAATTACGGCAGGTGACAAGAATATCCAAGACGCAGTAAATGACGGCAGCTAGGTGACAGGAATGTCTAGCAAACAGTATATCACAGCAGGTAACGATAACATCTAGGACATAATGACCATGTGAGAAATAATGTCTTGAATATGTAGAATCACCGAGGAAAAGCAGCTGTGATATTGTGTTATGGCAAAACCTTCCATGAATACTCGGCAACAGAACACTCTATCAGAAATAAAACAACGTATCATCGACGTAGATATTCAACAATGGCAAGCAGACATTAAAAACAACTATAAACTATCTTCATATTCTTCCTACAAATCAGTTTTGAATGTCGAACAATATCTAACGCATATCCACTTACGAAGCTTTATTAAGATTGAGATGCGGATGCCACAACTTAAGGATTGAACTTGGACGAAGACTCGGAATAGATGAGGAAAGCAGATTATGTACACATTGTAGCCGCTACGGAATAGATGTAGTTGAGAATGAATTCCATTTCTTACTTGTATGCAAAGCCTTTTCAAATCTACGAAAATCATATATTCACCCTGCATACCATGAACATCCTTCTGTTGCAGCATTTGTAAATCTTATCAATTCCACATGTCCTCAAACATTGTTAAATTTAAGTAAGTATGTATTTTTAGCATTTTAACTTTACCCATCGGCACACCAATAATGTTATTATCATGCATTGTGTATTACTATAGTACTACCTTGTGAAATTTATTTATCGTTTATATATTGAAGTATAACAAAATGTGTATATGCGGTTAATGTACGTCCTATGGGCCTGTGGCCTTTGACTTGAGTTAATAAACGAGAACTAGAACAAGAATACTTCTAAACTGGTATAATAACAAGAAAAAGTTAGGAATATCTATCACGTGGTATAATGTCAATATCCCACAAGAATAATTAATAAAATAGAATGAATGTTTAATGTCTTCTGTGATTGGCATAAGCAAATACATGACCTGAGCCTAATTCTGCCCTGGTGATGCTACTTATTGTTACTGACCTGGCCCCAATACACCCTCTTGCCGTCCTCCAGTCTGAAAAACAAGACACTCCCTATGGTTACTGGGTTAATCACTTCATCTCATTATGTGCCAGTTAACTGCAAGAAGTTCATTATTGATCAATAGGCATCTATGTTGACAACTATTATTGTTCGTTGTGGTTATGTAGGTGTAGCATATTGACAACTATTATTGTTCATTGTGATTATGTAGGTGAAGTATATTCACAAATGTTATTGCTCATTGTGATTGTGTATGTGTAGGATATTGGCAAACCATTATTGTTCATTGTGATTGGGTAGGTGTAGAATATTGACAACCATTATTGTTCATTGTGATTATGTAGGTGTGGTATATTGCAAACCATTATTGTTCATTGTGGTTATGTAGGTGTAGTATATTGACAAATATTATTGTTATTGTGATTATGTAGGTGTAGTATATTGACAAACCATTATTGTTCATTGTGGTTATGTAGGTGTAGTATATTGACAAATATTATTGTTATTGTGATTATGTAGGTGTAGTATATTGACAAACCATTATTGTTCATTGTGGTTATGTAGGTGTAGTATATTGACAAATATTACTGTTATTGTGATTATGTAGGTGTAGTATATTGACAAACCATTATTGTTCATTGTGATTATGTAGGTATAGTATATTGACAAATATATTGTGATTATGTAGGTGTATTACAAACCATTATTGTTCATTGTGTTGTAGTATATTGACAATTATGTGATTATGTAGGTGTGTTGTTCATTGTGGTTATATATATTATTGACAAACCATTATTGTTCATTGTGATTATGTAGGTATAGTAACTATTATTGTTCATTGTGATTATGTAGGTGTAGTATTTTGACAAATATTATTGTTCATTGTGATTATGTAGGTGTAGGATATTGACAAACCATTATTGTTCATTGTGATTGGGTAGGTGTAGTAAATTGACAACCATTATTGTTCATTGTGATTATGTAGGTGTGGTATATTGCAAACCATAATTGTTCATTGTGGTTATGTAGGTGTAGTATATTGACAAATATTATTGTTATTGTGATTATGTAGGTGTAGTATATTGACAACCGTTATTGTTCATTGTGATTATGTAGGTGTAGTATATTGACAACTATTATTGTTTATTGTGATTATGTAGGTGTAGTATATTGACAAATATTATTGTTCATTGTGATTATGTAGGTGTAGTGGATTGACAACTATTATTGTTCATTGTGATTATGTAGGTGTAGCATATTGACAATTATTATTGTTCATTGTGGTTATGTAGGTGTAGTATATTGACAACTATTATTGTTCATTGTGGTTATGTAGGTGTAGTATTTTGACAAATATTATTGTCCATTGTGACTATGTAGGTGTAGTATATTGACAAACCATTATTGTTCATTGTGATTTTATAGGTGTAGTAGATTGACAAATATTATTGTTCATTGTGATTATGTAGGTGTAGTAGGTTGACAACTATTATTGTTCATTGTGATTATGTAGGTGTAGCATATTGACAAATATTATTGTTATTGTGATTATGTAGGTGTAGTATATTGACAAATATTATTGTTATTGTGATTATGTAGATGTAGTATATTGACAACTATTATTGTTCATTGTGGTTATGTATGTGTAGTACATTGACATCTAGTATTGTTCATTATTAGTCTGTAGGTAAGTACATTGACATCTAGTTTTGTTCATCGTTAGTCTGTATGTAAGTGCACGAGGATAGTGTGCTGAGTTCATTTCTAGATACGGTGAACGAGGATAATGTGCTGAGCATGTTCATAGATGTCAGTGAAAGTAAATCCTATCCTGAGTATGTCCCTATATGAGAGAGTATACGGTAGTGTGGTTAGCTAGTAGTGAGTGAGGAAAAAGATCTGAGCATGTTTCCTAGGATACAACAGCGAGAAATCGTCACCGTTCGTTGAACTGTAAGGTATTGTCTTTGCTCAGGATGAGGAACAGATGACGATCGTCCTTATCTCCTTGTCGCACCTGAAGCATGAGAAACTAAACAAGTGGGAGTCTGAATGGTTTCACAAGCCATCATTTAACTTTGATGTTTAACATTCTATTGACACAAAATGGGATTTAGAACCAGCTCAAAAATGTGGAAAGACATCTACGCTCATCTACTCATCTATACTAATCATGTGTAGCGTTTCAGCACAAATCTTCAAGCGTTCCAGGGAAAGAAAATGGCAAAGTTGACAGAAGATGACAACCATGGACGCGTTACACTGATACTCCGAGCCAATGACACACTTGCTTGATAACGGTGTTACTAGCTACACCGAAACGTCGCTCATATTAATAGTAAATGAGTTGTATATCCATAGAACTGACCTCGTTGTTCATCACACCACTTCTAAATGCCACTCAAAGAAGCTGACGTTTCTGTAACCTTTGAAACTTACCTGTATATCATCTAACATCAACTCTTCGCGAAGTGTAAATCTGCCTTGTTTGGTGGTATCACAGATTAGGAGTACATCTGTAAACTAGAAAGGAACTTTCGTTTGGGAAAATATATATTGCTGATGATGTACGTGATGTGTAAAGTACAAGGCAGATATCAGCATGTTATATACAGATATGACTGATGTTGTACGTGATGTGTAAACTACAAGGCAGATATCAGCATGTTATATACAGATATGACTGATGATGTACGTGATGTGTAAACTAGAAGGCAGATATCAGCATGTTATATACAGATATGACTGATGTACGTGATGTGTAAACTACAAGGCAGATATCAGCATGTTATATACAGATATGACTGATGTTGTACGTGAGGTGTAAACTGCAAATCAGGGGCGTGGTAGGCGAGCTGTATAAGGCGCCAGGCAAGTGATCCAGCCAGCTTAAGGTGCCGGTATCGAGCCCACCTGTGACCAGGTGTAAAAATATTGTAGTCAACTTTGTGTGCAGACTCTTTAAGTGTTGTCAAAACCCGTAGTTTACAGTAGGCCTACACAACCCTGTGCACTTAAAAGAACCCACGAATCCATTGGTAAATGACCAGATGGTGGGCACATGAATACGTGCAAACACCTAGTTACGGCTACAACAACGTACAATAAACTTGGACAAAGTGCTGTGACTATGTGTCCCAGTCCTCATAAGGATGGGAAGCCACATTAACATGGTGCACCTAGAAGGCTGCAAGAGTTGAGATTGAAAATACGATGTGCCGTTGAGATCGACATCCAAAGCGCCTTTGAGCTGGGAAGTGGCACTATACTAATATCAGTATGTATATAAGCATGTTATATACAGATATGACTGATGTATATGATGCGTAAACTACAAGGCAGATATCTGCATGATACATATTATATACTCATGGAAACGAATAAGGGAACACCTGAAAGTACAAGTGTTCCTATATTCTTTTCTTGGTTTCTTCACAAGCGTTGTATTGCACTGTGAGTGAAATTCTGGAAACGAATAAAGGAACACTAGTACTTTCATGTGTTCCCTTATTCGTTTCCATGAGTATATAGATATGGCTGAAAATGTACGTGATGTGTAAACTTCAGTACGAGATGCCGCTAAACTGTAGCATGCATCTACATACAGGAGGAAACAAAGAGGTGTTCACGTCACAACGTCCAGCTAAACTGTAGCATGCATCTATATACAGGAGGAAACAAAGAGGTGTACACGTCACAACGTCCAGCTAAACTGTAGCATGCATCTACATACAGGAGGGAAACAAAGAGGTGTTCACGTCACAACGTCCAGCTAAACTGTAGCATGCATCTACATACAGGAGGGAACAAAGAGGTGTTCACGTCACAACGTCCAGCTAAACTGTAGCATGCATCTACATACAGGAGGGAACAAAGAGGTGTTCACGTCACAACGTCCAGCTAAACTGTAGCATGCATCTACATACAGGAGGGAACAAAGAGGTGTTCACACGTCACAACGTCCAGCTAAACTGTAGCATGCATCTATATACAGGAGGAAACAAAGAGGTGTTCACGTCACAACGTCCAGCTAAACTATAGCATGCATATACATACAGGAGGAAACAAAGAAGTGTTGACGTCACAACGTCCAGCTAAACTGTAGCATGCATCTACATACAGGAGGGAACAAAGAGGTGTTCACGTCACAACATCCAGCTAAACTGTAGCATGCATCTACATACAGGAGGGAACAAAGAGGTGTTCACACGTTACAACGTCCAGCTAAACTGTAGCATGCATCTACATACAGGAGGGAAACAAAGAGGTGTTCACACGTTACAACGTCCAGCTAAACTGTAGCATGCATCTACATACAGGAGGGAACAAAGAGGTGTTCACGTCACAACGTCCAGCTAAACTGTAGCATGCATCTACATACAGGAGGGAACAAAGAGGTGTTCACGTCACAACGTCCAGCTAAACTGTAGCATGCATCTACATACAGGAGGGAACAAAGAGGTGTTCACACGTCACAACGTCCAGCTAAACTGTAGCATGCATCTACATACAGGAGGAAACAAAGAGGTGTTCACACGTCACAACGTCCAGCTAAACTGTAGCATGCATCTACATACAGGAGGGAACAAAGAGGTGTTCACGTCACAACGTCCAGCTAAACTGTAGCATGCATCTACATACAGGAGGGAACAAAGAGGTGTTCACGTCACAACGTCCAGCTAAACTGTAGCATGCATCTACATACAGGAGGAAACAAAGAGGTGTTCACGTCACAACGTCCAGCTAAACTGTAGCATGCATCTATATACAGGAGGGAACAAAGAGGTGTTCACACGTCACAACGTCCAGCTAAACTGTAGCATGCATCTACATACAGGAGGGAACAAAGAGGTGTTCACGTCACAACATCCAGCTAAACTGTAGCATGCATCTACATACAGGAGGGAACAAAGAGGTGTTCACGTCACAACGTACAGCTAAACTGTAGCATGCATATACATACAGGAGGAAACAAAGAGGTGTTCACGTCACAACATCGAGCTAAACTGTAGCATGCATCTATATACAGGAGGAAACAAAGAGGTGTTCACGTCACAACATCCAGCTAAACTGTAGCATGCATCTATATACAGGAGGGAACAAAGAAGTGTTCACACGTCACAACGTCCAGCTAAACTGTAGCATGCATCTACATACAGGAGGGAACAAAGAGGTGTTCACGTCACAACATCCAGCTAAACTGTAGCATGCATCTATATACAGGAGGGAACAAAGAGGTGTTCACGTCACAACATCCAGCTAAACTGTAGCATGCATATACATTCAGGAGGGAACAAAGCGGTGTTCACACGTCACAACATCCAGCTTAACTGTAGCATGCATCTACATACAGGAGGAAACAAAGAGGTGTTCACGTCACGACATCCAGCTAAACTGTAGCATGCATCTACATACAGGAGGGAACAAAGAAGTGTTCACGTCACAACGTCCAGCTAAACTGTAGCATGCATCTACATACAGGAGGGAACAAAGACGTGTTCACGTCACAACGTCCAGCTAAACTGTAGCATGCATCTACACACAGGAGGGAACAAAGAGGTGTTCACACGTCACAACATCCAGCTAAACTGTAGCATGCATCTACATACAGGAGGAAACAAAGAAGTGTTCACGTCACAACGTCCAGCTAAACTGTAGCATGCATCTACATACAAGAGGGAACAAAGAGGTGTTCACGTCACAACGTCCAGCTAAACTGTAGCATGCATCTACATACAAGAGGAAACAAAGAAGGTGTTCACGTCACAACGTCCAGCTAAACTGTAGCATGCATCTACATACAGGAGGAAACAAAGAAGTGTTCACGTCACAACGTCCAGCTAAACTGTAGCATGCATCTATATACAGGAGGGAACAAAGAAGTGTTCACGTCACAACGTCCAGCTAAACTGTAGCATGCATCTACATACAGGAGGGAACAAAGAAGTGTTCACGTCACAACGTCCAGCTAAACTGTAGCATGCATCTACATACAGGAGGGAACAAAGAGGTGTTCACGTCACAACGTCCAGCTAAACTGTAGCATGCATCTACATACAGGATTGAACAAAGAGGTGTTCACGTCACAACGTCCAGCTAAACTGTAGCATGCATCTACATACAGGAGGGAACAAACTGGTGTTCACGTCACAACGTCCAGCTAACACGTGTGGCGACTGACCAGGAAGAGGTAGCTAATGTGGCACTGCTCCGTTTTTCCATCGATGTAACGTATCTTGCCTTCTTTCACCAACACTCGTTTCTTCGTGCTTTCCGAAAGCTCACCATGTATCTTCTGGAAGGCCTTTAACGTGCTCTTAAGATTATCCTGAAAAGTAGTCACAGAAGGTCGTCGTATGGACCGTTCACACGTTAATGTAACGATTATGGCAACGGAAATTTGAAATAAAACAATTAAGATAAGTAAATGTAAACGTTCGATACTGAAACAACAGCACGATTATTTCAATTCCATGATACGTAAACTATGGAATCCAAGATGGGCGATCATTATGTCGCATTGTGGTGTTGTCGGGCATTTTAAGGCTTTTTCTTTACATATCTTAGATGTAGCGACAATATAACAACATGACATATTTTGACCTTGAAAACTGTTCCCATGTACGTGCGACAACGCGACTCACAGCAATGTGTTCATGTCGGTCGCCAAGACCCTGTTTAAACAGCCATGTGTAGGCACAACTTGAAACTAAATAGAATTACCCCTTCACAATTATTACCAATACTTTTGGAGCCAAGTTTATAATTTTGTTGAGTATAATACTCACTAAGACATCGGTAGCAGGATATAATGTCAGTTGAGACATATCAGATTTTATTGTTATCAGGTGAAGGTGTTTTATGTAGTTTGAAATTTTGCAAATAAAAGTAAAAACTGCTAAACTTCAAAAATATGTTTAAAGCTTTCATTGGTGAAGGGTTATCCAGTAAACACTGTGGTTGTCTGCAATCAGATTTACAACGCTCATGAAAGGTTTTGTTGGGGGTTTGTTAGTAAAATTCTATCTGGTTGAGGTGCATCCTGAATTATGTCCCTTTATGGAATATTGTCATGACTAAGAAAGTGGGGTGGTTCAGTCTGGCCTCAATTTCCCATTGTGTGTAATGTGATCAGAGATCTAGTCTCTGATTGGGTACAAGTTAGGCATAGTTAACAACATTAGTGTCCAAGCACATGCCACTTAGCATCCGGCCTTTTGACAGCACAGAAGCACAGCAGTACTGTTACCTGCCACAATAAGTGACAAAAGCGTAGATACTAAACACCTCCATTCCATAAATTGGAAGATTTTCTTGTGGATTTTGTGGATCCTGTATTCATCTGCCCATTCTGATAATAAAGTGTCCTCACACCTACCAGCAGCGTGACCTCACCCTACCAGCAGCGTGCCCTCACCCTACCAGCAGCGTGCCTTCACCCCTACCAACAGCGTGCCCTCACCCCTACCAGCAGCGTGCCCTAACCCCTACCAGCAGCGTGCCCTCACCCCTACCAGCAGCGTGCCCTCACCCCTACCAGCAGCGTGTCCCCACCCCTACCAGCAGCGTGTTTCAAGTGCTGGTTACACATCGACCGAGAAAGAAATACTTTATTGGTATAATCTTAGCCAGGGCGCGGTCGATTTATCAGCTGTTTAATACCATGTAATTATTGTGATTACAAACCCCTCAACCATCAGTCGGAATCGAATACTTTCCCAAATCGTGGAATAATATTAATCATTAAAACACCAGTGCACAAAACAGTTTCACGGAAATTGTATATTTTGTCATACGCAATGAAAGCGCGACACGTGGCCAATAAACGTCCGCATTGTAATACTCACGTGACCAATAAACGTCCGCATTGTAATACTCATGTGACCAATAAACGTCCGTATTGTAATACTCACGTGACCAATAAACGTCCGCATTGTAATACTCACGTGACCAATAAACGTTCGTATTGTAATACTCACGTGACCAATAAACATCCGTATTGTAATACTCACGTGACCAATAAACGTCCGTATTGTAATACTCACGTGACCAATAAACGTCTGTATTGTAATACTCACGTGACCAATAAACGTCCGTATTGTAATACTCACGTGACCAATAAACGTCCGTATTGTAATACTCACGTGACCAATAAACGTCCGTATTGTAATACTCACGTGACTCATAAACGTCCGTATTGTAATACTCACGTGACCAATAAACGTCCGTATTGTAATACTCACGTGACCAATAAACGTCCGTTTTGTAATAGTCACGTGACCAATAAACGTCCGTATTGTAATACTCACGTGACCAATACACGTCCGTATTGTAATACTCACGTGACCCATAAACATCCGTATTGTAATACTCACGTGACCCATAAACATCCGTATTGAAATACTCACGTGACCAATAAACATCCGTATTGTAATACTCACGTGACCCATAAACATCCGTATGGTAATACTCACGTGACCAATAAACGTCCGTATTGTAATACTCACGTGACCAATAAACGTCCGTATTGTAATACTTACCGTTTTCAATAACACGTCGTCGGCGTAATCTGCCACCCGCTTTATCATGTTGAGCGCCACTAGAAGAATCAGAGAGTTCAAGAAGCACTGAGGTGATAAATAACGAAATGCATTAATAAAACTTGTCTTAAATACTTTATGAAGTATGACGTCTTATTTGAACTTTATACTTTTCTTTATGTAGTCAGAATACTGTGAAGGCACAATGGCTACAAGTGTTACCTGTAGCGTCCTCAATATCAGGTGAGTCCTCACGCAGATGATGTAGATATCCTGGATGTTAATAGAAAAGAAATGCTATAAATTAATATCGGTTCCATTTTATACTTACGTTGCATGGCAAAATAAGTTATACATCCATGTTGCTGGCAAGATCTATTCCGATTTTCACTTTTGTTTGGCAAGTTTGAGTGACAATGCCAGTATTATTAATGGGGACATCAAACAGATGTTTGTTGCTGGACTGGACATATGAGGACTGGATTTACAACGGTCTGCATCAGTAAGCAGCATATCAATAACACATTTTATGTTTAACGTTTTTTCTATTCATGTAAAGTCGGTGGTGAACTCAAACAAATAAGCACATATATACATGTAAGTGAATAGTGCATGTTGCTCTCAGTGGATACTACAGCCAAAAGCCAAAACTGTGTAAATTCCAGTGCATGATTACGATATGAATTTCAAGCCATATATGTATATTATTATTTTAGGCACTCCCCTCAAAATGAAAATAATAATATTTCATCATGTTAGTTGTGGTGACCAGAAGAAGGATGAGCTAGACACGGGCCATGCTACTCACTCTCCAGAAGCAGCTGATAACGAGGCAGCCGTTGTACTGGCTCCAACATGTGGGTCTCCACTGTCAGTTGATCACACTCACTGCTTTGCTGAAACAATCCATCCCCGACCATAAGGCATGGTACATATATTTTTCTCCACATGCAACCAACATCTGCATCTCTTACCTTGGATAGCAATACCTTGTGAAGTGTGACCTAGGTTAAAGCTTTACCAACATTGCTAGCAATATTCTACACACATTTCTCCAGTTCACAGAAAACATTTGTGAAGTACATTCCCGACATCAGTATCCACCCAACAACATAGCTTATCTTTAGGATTACACTTTCTCGGTCAAGTATAGATTCTAGTACTTTTCGGGTTGAGTGCCTTGCGGGATTTGAACACACAATCTCAGATTGAGGCACCTTATTGCCATAACATAGTTGCATTTGACCACTTTAAAAAACGCATTGTGTGTTAATTTCATTTTTGTACAAGCTGCGACGGCAGAGTAGGCTAGATCGCTTACTTTGTGTGCTGGCGGTTAGATGACTCACTCCCCAAAGTACTAGAATCTGTACTTGACTAAGACAGTGTATTCCCAAATATAACACACGTTGCATTTGACCACACAAGGCATTGTGTTTTCATCTTCTCCACAAGTACTGCAAGCAAGGATGATGGGGACACTATTACAGCAACCCGGCTGAAACGTCGTTTATATGGAATTTCGCGATCATATTTAGCGTCATCTATCCTGAATATGTATTACACGTGCGTCCAACTATTTTGTTGAAATTTTGTCAGCATGTTGAAAACAGTAGAAGTACAAATGTAACCTCTAAATAGCCAACATTAGTCAACTGAACGCAAGTATACTACACATATGAGAGAAATGCAATCGTCAGCCCATGGTAGACACAAGAACCTCGTTATGCTGGATTGCTGTACAGTTTAACTACACGAACACTAGCACACAGGAATACGCTGTTTGGGGGAAAAGGTCCTTGGAGCTCTTACTTCTCCCAGAACATTTTGAAAGAACATATGGTTTTGTAAAAAGCAATGGTGATATCAGAGTAAGGTCTTCTCAGGACACTTTATTGCAGAAAGCCCACTGAACCCTTTCCATATTTCCATAGTCATTAAAAATATCAGTTATAGGCCATTATAAGATGTCGTTAGCATCTGTTCATGAATCACTACCACGTGGTATTGATGCTGGGTATTCGCGAAAAGGTAAGGGTATTTTGCGGCATCCTTCACAACTGCGAGTCAATCTTTCATCTGTAAATGTACGGGAATATATGGCGCAATGTTATAAAGGCACTATAACCACAATCAGCTAAAATCATTCTGTGTGATGATTGGTGAAAACAAACACCTTCTCAGTTATTTTCAAAGAAGACTATGATAAAATAATACAATCAATTTGAGCGGTGTGAGCAAAACATTCTGAAAATGGATAATGTGAAAATAAGTGAGGAAATGTCAGTGAGAGCCGCTGCAAGATTGGACAGTGTTGGCACTGGCCAGGGCTGCAACACATGTAATTATAATAGACCATGTAACAGTAAACGTTGCATGTGCTAAAAAGACTGAAATATATGCTCTTGCCATTGCCATCCTTGAAATATCAAGTGTAAAATAGATAGTTGTTTTAATTTCAGTTTTTTTGTTTGTTTTTTTTTGTTTGTTTTTTTATTCCATTTCAAGTCTCACATAAAATATATATGGCAAAGAGGACAACAACCAAATATATATGTATATAGCTTCAGTGATGTAGCATGCATAAAAGACAGTATTGCAAACATATACACACGCGCGCACACATACATATATACATATACATACATATGCACATACATACACGCATGTATACATATATATAAATATAACATCATGAGATTACAACAATTATATAGATACATAAGATGTCATTAAAGTTTCTGTGGAGGGAATATGAAATTGGAGGGGTAAGGTTGAATAGTATGGTTGTAGTGAGTAGGGTCTGGAGGTCTCAGCTGATATTATAAGTAGAATTTAATGTTTAGCACATAGTAAGGTATCTAAATGTTTCCATTTCCTTATAAAGGGATCTAAGCAATTGTTTTTCCTAGCTATATATTTTTCAGTTGTATATATATCTTTTAATAACTTAAGAAATCCCTCAAGGGAAAGTGTTTGTTGTTTTATACTTGAAACATAAATGAATCTTTTGACAAGAAGTATAATATGGTTTAGTATTTTATTGTTTGAGAACATTCCAAACATTTCAGTTTTAATGTTTGATCTTTTTAATTACCTAAATGTTTTGATATGTCACAATGTATCAAGGTACTGTTTTGTTAGAATAACCATTAATTTCAGCTTTAAAAATAATATGTATATTTGAAGTTTTAACAGCCTTAATGTTTGGATGTGTTACATTGTATCAAGATCCTGTTTTGTCAGACTAAACATTAGTCATGATGTCTCTCATTTGGATGAGCAATTCCGGGAATTGGGCACGACGTGTGTGTGTGTGTGTGTGTGAGTGAGAGAGAGAGAGAGAGAGAGAGAGAGAGAGAGAGAGAGAGAGAGAGAGAGAGAGAGAGAGAGAGAGAGAGAGAGAGTTCAGCTTGTTTATGATGATGTGTATCATAATAATGTACATTTAAATAATATTGCAAGTGTACTTGGTGGAAAGTGTCTCCCAAACGCACCCCGCGGAGCATGTCAAGAAGCAAACCCAGGAATTGTTTAGTTCAGTGCAGTTTGTGCCTATGTCACATGACAGTAATACAGGCATTTATCCAAGCAAGTGGATGGTACACTAAATATTGAATCTACAACGTTCCCATGTTCTCATCATCAAATACAGGCCATGTTGCCGGATCCTCGCTCCAGCTCCATACATGTAACAGGTTTCATGTTGAGCCAAAACAGCTGATTTATGTATTATGCCATATCCACTATTATCCAGTATTAAAACGTTGAAACAACTGCCCTGGATTGTGTTTTCTTGTAGTCAAGACATGGCCTTACAAAAAGACATGCAGCTTTACCAACGGACTGTGCGTGCATACCACTGATGGTAGCCGAAACATACAACTTTGTGAAAAGTAATGTGAGTGCTTAACTTGTTACCAGGTGTTATGTAGCTTAATCTGTTACCAGGTGTTATGTAGCTTAACTTGTCACCAGGTGTTACGTAGCCTAACGTGTTACCAGGTGTTATGTAGCTTAACTTGTTACCAGGTGTTATGTAGCTTAACTTGTTACCAGGTGTTATGTAGTATTCAATATCCGGGTTAGCATTAGGTTTAAATCAACTTACTTGTATGTGTGTTATTATAGTCGCAAACTTCACGGACTTCTTTGTCCATTCTGCCAGTAGCCGTTGACCGTCCCGTAGTCCGCGCATGTAGTCCGCGTACTGACGAAGGAAGGGCTGACACTGGCGGAAGACGTCCCCGATCTTTGGCTCCTGCCTCCTGATGATGGACATATGCAAAAGATATCTATTATGTGTCTTTCAAAACAACAAATGTTCAAGATGTCGCAACATTAGTACTGTATGACGAGTTACTGTATGACGAGGTAATGAGGGAGTGCACACACACACACACACACACACACACACACACACACACACACACACACACACACACACACACACACACACACACACACACACACACACACACACACACACACACACACACACACACACACACACACACACACACACACACACACACACACACACACACACACACACACACACACACACACACACACACATACATACTAATATTTGTATCGCGCCAATATCCAGCTCAGCTGCTCAAAGACGCTTTGTTTTTCTGTGGCTTTCCCGTCCTTACGAGGTACCCATTCACAGCTGGGTGGACTGGGACACATATTCACAGTACTTTGTACAGATTTACTGCACGTTGCTGTACCCGCAACTATAGTATGACAAGAAATTATCGAGAATTTGAGGAATATGTTTAATTGGATTTCTAGTATAAAAAACATTGACCATCTATCAAGTGCTTGGTTTCATTCAAGAGAGACAACTCCGTTAATCCTTTTTCATTAGTTTGTGAAGAGTTATGCCCCTTTGTTTACTTGCTAGCAGACAACATTTTCAGTGATCCTCAGTATGGATGATTTAGAGAAGAGGAAGTTGATTTTAGAGTATTATAACAAGGACATCAGATCAGCTAAAGTGATTTCAAGTAGAACAGGCATCCCTTTGTCCACTGTTAATCGTGTTTTGAAAAATATTGCAAATGGATATGGCACTGAGCACCAGGGAGGAGCAGGTAGGCCCAGAAAATTGACTATGGGTGACAGGAAGCGTCTTGGTATTCTTGTTTCTAAAAACAAACGAAGGAGTTTAGAAAACTTAAGGCTGGATATGATTGATAGAGGAACTGTGGCTGTCTGTAAGGAGACAATTAGAACTGAGCTGCATGCAATGGGTTGGCAGAAAAGTCGAGGAATTCCATCACAGATCATGAAACCTGAACAAAAGGAGCGTAGGTTGAACTGGTGCTTACAGCATAGAAATTTTAACTGGGACAATGTGATTTTCTCAGATGAAAGTTCTGTGTGGCTGCTTCCTAATACACTGAAATTCTGGACCAAACAAACTGAAAAACCTTTGTATCAGCGCCCAAAGTACAGTCCGAAATTTAACGTGTGGGGTGGCATATCTGTGTTAGGGGCAACGCCCCTCTGTGTATTTGAAAGGAATATGAACAGTGAGCGGTACACAGATAAACTCGAGGGACATTTACTTCCATCTGCTCACGTGTTCTATGGAAAGTTTTGGATTTTCCAGCAGGACAACGACCCAAAACATCGTTCAAAGCATTCACAGTCCTGGTATGGACCCAAAATATGACATCATTAGATTGGCCAAGCTATAGCCCTGACCTAAATCCAATAGGAAATGTTTGGGGACTTATGAAGGAAAGTGTCACTAAGAAAAATCTGACAAATATTGCTGAAATAAAAGAAGAGGTCGATATTGGGACAGGATGGACCACGACTTTCTAACTTCTTTGGGGCGGTGGGGTAGCATAGTGGTTAAAGCGTTGGCTCGTCACGCCGAAGACCCGGGTTCGATTCCCCACATGGGCACAATATGTTAAGCCCATTTCTGGTGTCCCCCCGCCGTGATATTGCTGGAATATTGCTAAAAGCGGCGTAAAACTAAACTCAGTCAGTCAGTCAGTTCTAACTTTTTTGATCAGTAGTATGCCCCGCCGCACTTAAGCCTGCATTGTTGCCCATGGTGACTTGACAAAATACTAACTGTTCACCTGTCTTTGAATCTGGAGTTATGTTCTGCTAATATTCACATTTAATACGTGAGTAATAAGTGAAATTTTAAAAAAAAATTACAATCTTTAAATTCTCAATAATTTCTGGTTGTACTGTAGGTGCACGTATTCATGTGGTCGCCATCTGGTCATTTTCCAACGGATTCGTTGGTTCTTTTAAGTGCACAGGGTTGATTGTATACTAGGGGTTGTGACAACACTGATAGAGTCTGCACACAAAGTTGACTCCAAAGTTTTTACACCCAGTCACAGGTGGGCTCGATCCAGCACCTTCAGCTCGCTGGATCACTAGCCTGGCGCTTTAGACATGCAGCTCGCCCACCGCACTCCTATGCATGATGAAGTACTGTGTGATGAGGGACAGCGTGGTTGTGTACGTATGACGATGCTATTTTGTATCTGCTCCACTGCGACAGTATTTGCCATGGGACTGGGCGTCTTGCCTTGGACGAAGAGGACGAACTGTTCTTGAAGATACATCTATATGCAGGTATAGTACTGGCTCTAAGGACTGCTGGCTGGAACCGGTGTCGGGGGTGCGTACTTAGGATCCATCGGTCCACATGGAGTCGTGGAGTCGTTATTAGCGGACGGCCATTACGGGGACAATAAATAAGAGAAGTGCTGAGAGGTACCAAGATGAAGCATACCTTTACCTCTCCCCGAGACATGGCATGTGGAACTTATTCCAGAACTATCGATAGCGTTTATTGTTTACTTCTGCACTTCGTCAGACTGCATTGAGTGGAAATGAGTGGTTGTCTGGCCTTTTAGAGTAAACATTATTACTGGTCTTTTTTGTCGAATATGTCATGCTTCTTGCAACACCTGGCTAGTTGCGTTTCTTCGACCATTTTAGCACACTATATGTCTGGTGCAGATCCAACAATTCGTTCACAAGATTATTGATAAAGAATTTCTATGTCACAATAATTTTATATCTCTGAGCAGAATAATGAAAACAATGGTGGGTAAAATCAAGTTACTTACCACGCAGAGAGTCTTTCTTCCAGTTTGGGCAGCAAGTAATCCTTATGGAATTCCAAAATTGATGGTAAACTTGGGAAGATTTTATTTATGACATCATCACTGACAGCTTTAACGCTTTTGTTTCTTGTAATCACCTGAAACGATACACTGTCTTATCACATTTTCTGCAGTTTATTACAGTTTACCGCGTTATTACATGTCGTAAGATGTGTACGTCAAGTTATGAACGGTACGTCACAAGATTTACCCTCTGACGTCATCATATCATACCCATGGTTATGTTATATTCGATAAATTCACCCCACTGTTGCATCGGCTTCTCTACCTGATTGAGAATATCTAATCTGGTAACATAGGCTCTCTCTGTGTCGATAATTTCTCTGACTGCCAGGTAAGCCATATCGTCTTGGAGAGTCGCCTGTGAGGATTTTCGTCTTTTGATGACTTGCTGTCTTCTTATCCGTATTTCGGTGACCTCCTTAAACAGGATACTCGTACTACAAGCAATGTATGTGGCAGTAAATGGATAACTATATTCAAACTTTAGGCATCTACTCCCAGGTACAATGTTACGGAATCGCATGTTAACGACACTTCACGGTGCTATTGTCCGTTTAGTCACCGGTATGAACTGGTGATGAATGATACATGTCAGGCTACATTCCTAACCACAGTCGAGCATAGAATCACATTCTCCGTCGTAGAATCTAGAATCTATTCGTAGTGTACACTAAAGCGGTCACACAGACACTCAATCAGCCTGCCTTCACACAAGTACCACAAGAGATGCTGCTCACAGTGCACCTGTTGCTATGGAGGAGCAGACGAGGATGTCACCAACCTGATGCGTCGTGTCGCTGGTGGTGTATGCCTTGTCCACGCTGATGATATCGTCTTTACTGCCACGTCTCACTTGGAATGTGTCCCCCGGCTTCAGGGACATCAGTTCATCAGGCTCCATATAACCCTCATTGACCTGTGAAACACACCATGGAAACATATACCTCCTTACAAAACAATACACAATGGTTTTGACATTGGTGGAAATAAAGGCACGACACGCACACTACACACGAACGCATGTATAATTCTCCCATGACTTTAGTAAATACTGGATTGTGGTTGGCTAATTAAAGTCATTCAGAGGTATATAACGTGGTTATTCTGATTTTCCAACACAGTATCTACTTTTGTAACATCTTAATAACGTGGTTATGGTAGAATGGAGATAAACGCACTGTGTGGGAAAATCAGAGGTATATAAAGAAATTATAATAGCTCTCAATTTGATTTAAAACCGAACGCGTTATATACCTGTGATCTTCCAACACAGTATGTTTATCTCCTAACTACAAGACAGCAGGAAGTGATCGGCTGTCAGATCAACTTGCCAGATGTCTTCTTATCAAGAAACTATAGCTACAACAAGAAAGGTATGTTATGAAGTAGGATATATATGTCAAAACTCTAACTTTTAACTCTCATAGAGACTCAAGGAACAACTTGAACCATTCTGACCTGACTAAGGAACAACCTGCAGCAATATAATTCGCAACTTCGATTTGATTCTGCATAGTATTTGGGTCCTTTGCAAAATTTTAACACATCTCCACCTAAAGACGACGCACGCTATACATTCAGCCTTTCCATAATATCCTGTAGCATTGAACCGTATATACAATCAGCAACACAAGAACGCCATTACCTCGTAAGCTGGAGTGATGTCAGACATGGTGAAATGGGTTTTGTTCTTGTTGAATACCGCAAGGATGTAAACTGGAATAAATGGATAAATTTTAAAGAAGGCAAGATCGTCAACATAAAAGCCATACCCTAGTAATCGGCAGGGCAGTGCTGTTTCCAGTGAATCGTCTGTGGGTACACCGGACACTAGCTTTCAAATAATGGAGGGTTATATACCATCACCATGATTTCCTTGCTGCCTTTAATGATATGGGACAATGGGACAAGAGTAGGGCGACAGATACTGTAGTCCTACTTGTGAATCTGACACACCGCATGGCGGAACCACACACGAGAGATGGTTGAAAGCCTTCCGGTGAGATTACATGTCAGGACACACACACCATGTATACGGATCACATATTCTATGAGTGTCGGTGAAGCAATTGACGGACTTACAACCGCAAGGCCGACTAACTACAACCAGAACCAGGCCCTTGACGATCGGACAGAAATACAGTTATATATGTATGTTTGTCAGAAAACGGAATATGTAACAGGATATTCCGTAAAAGGGTGACAATCTAAACTGACAATCGTTACATCCTACTGAATGTTTACAGTTATCCATGTAGCAGGGCGTGGAGTCATCCTACGTATTACTGAATGTTTCCAGTTATCCATGTAGCTGGGCGTGGAGTCATCCCACGTATTACTGAATGTTTACAGTTATCAATGTAGCTGGGCGTGGAGTCATCCCACGTATTACTGAATGTTTACAGTTATCCATGTAGCAGGGCGTGGACCCATACCACGTATTACTGGCGATGTTTACAGTTATCCATGTAGCAGGACGTGGAGTCATCCTACGTATTACTGAATGTTTACAGTTATCCATGTAGCTCGGCGTGGAGTCATCCAACGTATTACTGAATGTTTACAGTTATCCATGTAGCTGGGCGTGGAGTCATTCTACGTATTACTGAATGTTTACAGTTATCCATGTAGCTGGGCGTGGAGTCATCCTACGTATTACTGAATGTTCACAGTTATCCATGTAGCTGGGCGTGGGGTCATCCTACGTATTACTGAATGTTTAGTTATCCATGTAGCAGGACGTGGAGTCATCCCACGTATTACTGAATGTTTACAGTTATCCATGTAGCAGGAAGTGGAATCATCCCACGTATTACTGAATGTTTACAGTTATCCATGTAGCTGGGCGTGGAGTCATTCAACGTATAACTGAATGATTACAGTTATCCATGTAGCAGGGCGTGGAGTCACCCAACGTATTACTGATTGTTTACAGTTATCCATGTAGCAGGGCGTGGAGTCATTCCACGTTTTACTGATTCTTTACAGTTATCCATGTAGCAGGGCGTAGAGTCATCCTTCGTATTACTGAATGTTTACAGTTATCCATGTAGCTGGGCGTGGAGAGTCATGAATGTACGTATTACTGAGTCATGTTTACAGTTATCCATGTAGCTGGGCGTGGAGTCATCATACGTATTACTGAATGTTTACAGTTATCCATGTAGCTGGGCGTGGAGTCATCCCAGGTATTACTGAATGTATACATGCATCAATGTAGCAGGGCGTGGAGTCATCCCACGTATTACTGATTGTTTACAGTCATTCCTGTAGCTGGGCGTGGAGTCATCCTACGTATTACTGAATGTTTACAGTTATCCATGTAGCAGAGCGTGGAGTCATCCTTCGTATTACTGAATGTTTACAGTTATCCATGTAGCAGGGCGTGGACCCATACCACGTATTACTGGCCATGTTTACAGTTATCCATGTAGCAGGGCGTGGAGTCAACCTTCGTATTACTGAATGTTTACAGTTATCCATGTAGCAGGACGTGGACTCATACCACGTATTACTGAATGTTTACAGATATCCATGTAGCTGGGCGTGGAGTCATCCCACGTATTACTGAATGTTTACAGTTATCCGTGTAGCTGGGCGAGGGGTCATCCCACGTATTACTGAATGTTTACAGTTATCCATGTTGCTGGGCGTGGAGTCATCCTTCGTATTATTGAATGTTTACAGTTATCCATGTGGCTGGACGTGGAGTCTTTCCACGTATTACTGAATGTTTACAGTTATCCATGTAGCAGGACGGGGACCCATACCACGTATTATTGAATGTTTACAGTTATCCATGTAGCAGGGCGTGGGGTCATCCTACGTATTACTGAATGTTTACAGTTATCCATGTAGCAGGACGTGGAATCATCCCACGTATTACTGAATGTTTACAGTTATCCATGTAGCTGGGCGTGGAGTCATCCTACGTATTACTGAATGTTCACAGTTAATCATGTAGCTGGGTGTGGAGTCATCCTACGTATTACTGAATGTTCACAGTTATCCATGTAGCTGGGCGTGGAGTCATCCTACGTATTACTGAATGTTTAGTTATCCATGTAGCAGGACGTGGAGTCACCAATGGTATTACTGAATGTTTACAGTTATACATGTAGCTGGGCGTGGAGTCATCCAACGTATTACTGAATGTTTACAGTTATCCATGTAGCTGGGCGTGGGGTCATCCCACGTATTACTGAATATTTACAGTTATCCATGTAGCTGGGCGTAGAGTCATCCCACGTATTACTGAATGTTTACAGTTATCTATGTAGCTGGGCGTGGAGTCATCCAAAGAATTACTGAATGTTTAGTTATCCATGTAGCAGGACGTGGAGTCATCCTACATATTACTGAATGTTTACAGTTATCCATGTAGCAGGGCGTGGAGTCATCCCACGTATTACTGAATGTTTACAGTTATCCATGTAGCTGGGCGTGGGGTCATCCCACGTATTACTGAATTTTTACAGTTTTCCATGTAGCAGGACGTGGAGTCATCCTACGTATTACTGAATGTTGACAGTTATCCATGTAGCAGGACGTGGAGTCATCCAACGTAGTACTGAATGATTACAGTTATCCATGTAGCAGGGCATGGAGTCATCCTACGTATTACTGAATGTTCACAGTTATCAATGTAGCTGGGCGTGGAGTCATCCTACGTATTACTGAATGTTTACAGTTATCCATGTAGCTGGGCGTGGAGTCACCCAACGTATTACTGAATGTTTACAGTTATCCATGTAGCAGGGCGTGGAGTCATTCCACGTTTTACTGATTGTTTACAGTTATCCATGTAGCAGGGCGTGGAGTCATCCTGAGTATTACAGATTGTTTACAGTTATCCATGCAGCTGGGGATGGAGTCATCCATCGTAATACTGAATGTTTACAGTTATCCATGTAGCTGGGCGTGGAGTCATCCCACGTATTACTAAATGATTACAGTTATCCATGTAGCTGGGCGTGGAGTCATCCTACATATTACTGAATGTTTACAGTTATCCATGTAGCTGGGCGGGGAGTCATCCCACGTATTACTGAATTACTCAATGTCTACATGCATCATTGTAGCAGGGCGTGGAGTCATCCCACGTATTACTGATTGTTTACAGTTATTCCTGTAGCAGGGCGTGGAGTCATCCCACGTATTACTGAATGTTTACAGTTATCCATGTAGCAGGACGTGGAGTCATCATACGTATTACTGGTCATGTTTACAGTTATCCATGTAGCTGGGCGTGGAGTCATCCTACATATTACTGAATGTTTACAGTTATCCATGTAGCAGGGCGTGGACCCATACCACGTATTACTGGCCAAGTTTACAGTTATCCATGTAGCAGGGCGTGGAGTCATCCTACGTATTACTGAATGTTCTCAGTTAATCACGTAGCTGGGCGTGGAGTCATCCCACGTATTACTGAATGTTCACAGTTATCCATGTAGCTGGGCGTGGAGACATCCTACGTATTACTGATTGTTCACAGTTATCCATGTAGCAGGGCGTGGAGTCACCCAACGTATTACTGAATGTTTACAGTTATCCATGTAGCAGGGCGTGGAGTCATACCACGTATTACTGAATGTTTACAGTTATCCATGTAGCTGGGCGTGGAGTCATCCCACGTATTACTGAATGTTTACAGTTATCCATGTAGCTGGGCGTGGAGTCATCCCACGTATTACTGAATGTTTACAGTTATCCATGTAGCTGGGCGTGGAGTCATCCCACGTATTACTGAATGTTTACAGTTATCCATGTAGCTGGGCGTGGAGTCATCCTTCGTATTACTGAATGTTTACAGTTATCCATGTAGCAGGACGTGGAGTCATCCCACGTATTACTGATTGTTTACAGTTATCCATGTAGCTGGGCGTGGAGTCATCCTTCGTATTACTGAATGTTTACAGTTATCCATGTAGCAGGACGTGGAGTCATCCTACGTATTACTGAATGTTTACAGTCATCCATGTAGCAGGACGTGGAATCATCCCACGTATTACTGAATGTTTACAGTTATCCATGTAGCAGGGCGTGGAGTCATCCAACGTATTACTGAATGTTTACAGTTATCCATGTAGCTGGGCGTGGAGTCATCCTTCGTATTACTGAATGTTTACAGTTATCCATGTAGCAGGGCGTGGACCCATACCACGTATTACTGGCCATGTTTACAGTTATCCATGTAGCAGGGCGTGGAGTCACCAATGGTATTACTGAATGTTTACAGTTATACATGTAGCTGGGCGTGGAGTCATCCAACGTATTACTGAATGTTTACAGTTATCCATGTAGCTGGGCGTGGAGTCATCCCACGTATTACTGAATATTTACAGTTATCCAATGTTTACAGTTATCTCTGTAGCTGGGCGTGGAGTCATCCAAAGAATTACTGAATGTTTAGTTATCCATGTAGCAGGACGTGGAGTCATCCTACATATTACTGAATGTTTACAGTTATCCATGTAGCAGGGCGTGGAGTCATCCCACGTATTACTGAATGTTTACAGTTATCCATGTAGCTGGGCGGGGTCATCCCACGTATTACTGAATGTTTACAGTTTTCCATGTAGCAGGACGTGGAGTCATCCTACGTATTACTGAATGCTGACAGTTATCCATGTAGCAGGACGTGGAGTCATCCAACGTAGTACTGAATGATTACAGTTATCCATGTAGCAGGGCATGGAGTCATCCTACGTATT